CTTCCTCTTTTTTGTTGACCCTCCGCTTTACCAAGCATGATATCCTTTTCCAGGGAATTATCCTTTCTCACAACATGACCAAAGTAGGTGAGATGAAGTCTGGCCATTCTCGCTTCCAAGGAGCATTCCAGCTACACTTCTTTCAGGATAGATCTGTTGGTTCTTCTGGTAGTTTCAGTATTCTTCGCCAGCATCATAACTAAAGGGAATCAATTTTAGAAAGTAAATAGGGTCCTAGAACTGGATTGATGATATTTTAAGTGTCAGTGAAAACTGTTGAGCCAAGAAAGTTTTTATATATTTCCCTGCCTTCCCTCCTCTTTCTCTCCCTCCCTCTTCTGAGACTTAAATAAGCAGCCTAGTTCATGAGGTTTTCTGAGTTTCTTTTACTCGGTATAACTTGGAGTTCCTGCTGAGGTTTATTCCTATACAGTAATGAGATATATATGATATGATATGACCACATGATATCAATTATGTAGGTTTTTTTTTTTTTTTTTTGGTGGGCTAGACCTGGCTAATAAACTTAACTAGCTACAGTTGATGAAGGGGAAAATTAAGTTTCTTTGAACCTCTCATCTTGGAGAGAGAAATATTCATTATTCTTTGGACCTGACCTCTATGATTCTGTCTTAGACTAAATCACAGTATCATCTGAGTTCACTTAATTTTAGTAGTCACTTAATTAGAAAGTACTTTTTTAGACTTTGTTTTGTCTAACATGGGGTTTTCCATGTTAGAAATTTAAGTTTGTCTGTCCAGTTTTTATTAATCTTGGTGATCTTCAGTCTCTTCCTATCCTAATCTATCCTTCATGCCACAGCAAATTACTCTTAATTGAAAATAATTTGTGCACTGTTTTGGGCTCCTAAGAAATAGGTTCCCAAGGTCTTAGGGTAGAATCTGAACTCTTGCCCAATATTCAAGATCCTCCAGAATGGGCTTCCAGTCATCCTTTTCAACCTGCATTGGTGAACAAAAGGAAGATCAAACATCTACAGGAATACAGGGGATGGATTGAGGGATACTTTGAGTGAAAGTAAATTAAATTAGAGTTTTCTTACAAAGTATTTCGCATTAAAGTACTTTAAAAAAAAAATCATGAATGCATATCCTTTTAAAACAAAAAAAAATTGTTCTCTTTATTCTTCATGCTTTAGTTTAGTAATGTGTTTCTCCTGCCTGGATCTCGCTTATCTTTTTCTAGACTGGAGGCCCTTTTCCAACTGTTTTACTTCTTATTAATCTTTTAAGATTTAAATCCATTTCCTTTTGAACCTTCCCCAAGTCCCAGTTAACTGTCCTTTTCTCTTAGCTCCTACGACAGATATAGTGTGTACCATTTACTTGGCAGTTAATCACCCGTTGCCACCTTTCATCTCTCATATATTTATCTTTTTATGTGACTTTTTCTTTGCCACTTAGCTTGTGGTCCATGAGGGCACTGACCCTGGTTTACATCTAGCAGGATGCTTCATAAATAAGGAAGCTAGAAGAGAACTTAGCATTTCATTTAGGCCACTCATTGTACATGCCTGGTAATTCAGACACAGGTGAGGTGGTTTGTCCACTACCACAACTCAATATCTGAAACAGTAAGCTGAACATCACTTATTAATCAAGGGAAAGGTGTTGTTGAAAGTCAGAGTCTCCTGAGCAAAGACCTAGTTCTTTGAAGAGTTTGGGGAATTGTGAATTTAGGTATTAGTAGATTTGCAGAAGTGGAAGTGTTTAAGGTATTGGTTGACCTTTAACTGCAGATGTGTGATTACTCCAACGGGTCTGTTACTGACCGGTAGACTTTTGAAGTATCTTTACCTGGAGTGCTGCAGTTGTTGGTTGGCTGGCCTTCAGAATTGGTTATGGTAGCGGTCGTCTATCAATTAGGATAAGTTTCAAACCCATTATTATGGCCAAGGAACAATCAGTCTTCCTTGGTACATTTTTTGTTGTTAGTTGCCATCGAATCACCTAAGAACTTTTTATTCTTGTCTATTTTAGAATCAGAGATTTTCTAGGTTAGGATAAAATAAAACAAAACCCAAACCCATTACCTTTGTGTTGATTCCAACTCATAGTGACCCTACAGGACAAAGTAGATCTGCCTCATAGGGTTTCCAAGGCTCTTACCTATACAGAAACAGATTGCCCCATCTTTCTTCCGCAGAGTGACTGGTGAGTTCAAATCACCTACCTTTCAGTTAGCAGCTGAGCACTTAACTACTTAACCAGGACTCCTTAGGATGGAATTGTTATGTGCCGTATCAAAATACACATATTAGACCCCTTCCTACCCCAGAATGAACCAATGAGCATCGATTTGGTACCAGAGCTCTAATCCTAATTCTGTCAATAAATAAGCCACTTGATCTCTGTGATTCTCAGTCTCCTAAAGGATGAAACCTCCTTGAAAGATGTGGATTGAGATTAAGTTGACAGGAGTGAAGTATCCATCATACATTTGGTACTCAAAGCTTGTTTGCATGCCATCCCCAGGTTACAAATGAGACCTCTTCCTGTGTCTTTAAGAATTTGTCGATAAGTGGAACTAGGTGCATATATGGCTTTTATTTAGCCTTACTTTAGTGCAAGATGGAAGAAAGATATAGCAGTTTGCTTCTGTAAAGATTACAGTCTTGGAAACCCTATGGGGCAGTTCTACTCTGGGTCACAATGACTTGAAATTGACTCCATGGCAGTGGCTTTGGTTTTTTTGGTTTTAGTGCAAGAAAAGGCTTGATTTAAAAGCTTGCATGTGCAGCAAGTGAAGGTAATTGTGATGTAAAGTTGGTAGCAAGTAGGGATTGTTTCAACCAATCCTTTCAAAGTGAGGGCAAATTTATATAACATTAAAGGGCAATTAGATGTCTGTAAGTTGGATGTTTGTAAGCCATGAACTGCCTTACTTTTCCTAAACTGAACAATTACGTCTTCATTGCAGTCCACAGATCCAGTGTCATGGTTGTGCTACCAATGAAAGCATCCATGAGGAGGTAGTTTGTTGTATTCTGCTAAGACCATGATTAAGGAGCCATGATGGTGCGACAGTTAAGCACTCTGTAGCTAACCGAAAGGTTGGTGGTTCAAACCTACCAGTGGCTCTGTGGGAGAAAGACCTGGGAACTGCTACCATAAAGTTTACAGCCAAGAAAGTCCTATGGGATAGTTCTACTCTGTCACATGAGGTCTCTATGAGTTGAAATGGACTCTAGGACAGCCAACAATACTTTCCCAGGCTAGGTGCTACCTCCTTTCTCTGGACTGCTTTCAACTCTGCTGACTGTCAGAATCACTTGGAGAATTATTACTTGGAGAGTTTTAACAAACTACTGATACCTTGAGCTCATCCTAGAGATTCGAATGTCATTGGTCTGTGGTAGAGCCTGGGCAAGTGCATTTTTAAAGCTATCCATGTGATGCTAATATATAGTCAGGATTGAGAACCACGGAAATAGACCATGCCCGGCCAGCTCTTTTCTTACTTGCTGTTTATATAGTAGAAAATTAACAAATAGCTTTATTTGGTTATATCTTGATTGGTCTGAAGTAATGAACTGTTCTTATTAGAAACTTTTTTTTTTAATAAAATGTATAATTAAAAAACAAACGTGGTTTTTAAATGGAATAGTCTCTGAACTATATTCTTCTTCCTCTTGCCCTTCTCATTATTATTTTAAAAAGAAAAACACCTGTATGACTTTCAAAACACATAAAGGTCAGGTTGGAGAGATACATGGTTATGGCGATTTTGTGAAAGTAGATAAAAAAAACGTTGCCTCTTTTTGAAATGAGCTTTGTGTAAACAGTATCCTCTTGGATGTTTCATACATTATGTATAAGATTTATTAAACATTTTCTTCTCCCCAAAAGGTTTGTTATCTCTAAATTTGGAAGTTAATCCATGATAGAGGAGAAACATGTATTATTTATAAATTTCTTTAGTGTCTAGTAGACAGTATCATGTTATTTAAAAATAGTCCTTATGCTTCCAAGGAATTAATGTACATCGATGTGCTCTATGTAATCCTGAAGTTGCCCCTATAAAATAATGAGACCTCTCTGTCAGAGGTGAAGAGAGTTTTAAGTCAAGTCTATAATTCCTTCCTTCCTAGGTTTGGGAAATCTTCTAGTCAGGTGAAGGACTAATAATTGAATTTTTCTGCTGAAAGAAGACTGGCCTATCTTCTATCTGATAGGCATGAAGCTTGTGAAATAGTAGTTAATTGTATTCATTTTAGATGTTCAGGTATGCTTTTGCTAGATACTTAACTAGATACATAATATGCTATATTTGTCTATTGTTAGTTTTAATAAACTCTTTCTTTGTGGATAATTTCATATTTACAGAAAAGTTGCAAATATACTATAGAAAATTGCCATACATCCTCCACTCAGTTTCCCCTACTGCTAAATCTTACATAAGATTTGTACATAACATTGGTACATCACTATTAACAAAACTCCAGACATTAATCAGATTTCGCCAGTGTTTCCACCAGTTCCCCTTTACTGTTTTAGGATCCAATCCAGAATACCACATTTCATTTAGTACTAGATTTATTTTAATTTACAGGAGCAGTTTGAGTGTGTTTTGCATTTATTAAATATGTTCATAAAATTCAGCATCTCCTGAGGATATGGATGTAAACATGTCAGCTATAAGGAGCTGGTGTTACTACATATAAACACATTCAATCGTATTTTTATTTGGATTTTTTGAAAATTCATTTTTGTTCTTTGCAGAACATGCAGAATTCCCAGTGAATAACTAGCAGTAACATAGGATTTGCTTTATAAGGTCGCTATTTCTAAACAAAATACTACAGCTTGTTGAAAGAAGGTCATTTTAAGGTTGAGTATTCAAAGAGAAAACTGGTTGCAGAGTTGTAATGAAAGCTCTAAATGCATAATTTTTCAAGTTGATGCAAAGGATGCAGTGTTTGAGTGGTTCTCTAATGGGCATCTCCAAATGTTTTGCTGGCAGAAGGACTCCATGAAAGATGACAGAAGAAGTTATTGTTATAGCAAAGTGGGATTACACTGCCCAGCAGGATCAGGAACTTGACATCAAGAAGAATGAGCGCCTGTGGTTGCTGGATGACTCCAAAACATGGTGGCGGGTGAGGAACGTGGCCAACAAGACGGGATACGTGCCGTCCAATTACGTGGAAAGAAAGAACAGCTTGAAGAAGGGCTCGCTCGTGAAAAATCTTAAAGACACACTAGGTAAGTGTCCTGTTCATTAGTACCCAGATTATAAACATAAACTAAATTATTTCCCATTATGAAAAGAGAGAACCTTATGTTTTTTTTAGGGGAAGTTGTTCATCTTCTTAGTTTGGTCTTTAAAACATTAATGTTGACATATTTTTAGTTGGCCTTAAAAAAAATCTCTGAAAATTAAAGAGATCAAGTTGGAGGAATATCGTGTTTCTCATTTCCTGGAGATTTTAGAAGTTGTAGTCATACGAATGTTGACACTTCTGTGTGTTTTGCGTATGTTCTGTCTCCTTGCCTCAAAATTCAAGAGGACCCTGAAATGGAGTTACCACTTGAGAAAATATCCACCACTCTGCCTGCATCTTTCCTTCAAATCTTTCTAACATGTGTTCTGTCTAGCTTTCTTTGTCTTAACAAAATCTTTTCCATTTGGTCTTTATGCATGGAAAAAGAGATAGCAAAAAAAGAGGTGAATTTTCTCCCTCTCTTAAATTAATGACGTTTCATACACAGTCCTGGGTGGAGTTAGCTAAAGTGGCAACTGGGGCCAGCACAAGTATGACATCAGAGGCTATCTGAGATCACTGGAGTGGAGCTTTAATTCAGATACCTTGTTGCCAGGATTTCTTCCCATGAGCCTCTTTCCGTTATTTGTTGCCCTGATAACAGGGCACAGGAAAAAGCTACCTTGAGATAAAGTTACGGTTGTCTCATTCTGTGACTATGATGGTAGTTGGTTGTACCTGAGACTGACAACTATCACTTGAGTTTGTTATTGTGCTATTGAAATAAGTGTATAGCACTTCAAAATTATCACTCCTGTTACATTTACTTGAGTTAAGAACAAGTGTGGTATCTGTTCTTAAAGAGGAACCCTGGTGGCACAATGGTTAAATGCTTATCCGTTAATTGAAAGGTTGGAATTTTGAACCCACCCAGCAGTTCTGCGGGAGAAAGACCAGGCAGTTTGCTCCGGCAAAGATTAAAGCCTCAAAATCCCCTTGGGGCAGCTCTTCTCTGACACATGGGGTTGCTATGAATTGAAAATCTACTCGATTGCACCTAGCAACAGACAGCATTTTCTAAACAAGGATTTGTTTTATTGGGGTTGGGGAGACACGTGGGAAAACTAAAAAGAAAAGTTTACAAATGAACATGGTGGGTGTTGCAGAGTTCATAATCTTTGATTTTATGCAACCTTGAAGTCTGTTAACTCTTCAAGATCCTTGAAAGTCTTCATTCATTGAGTAGTATTTTTGTGGTGGTGGTGGTGTTGTTGTTATGTGCTGTCGAGTCGGCCCCAACTCATAGCGACCCCTCCTTGGGTTTCCAAGGCAGTATCACTACAGAAGTAGGATCGCCCAACCTTCCTTCCGAGGAGTGGCTGGTGGGTTTGAACCGCCAGCCTTCTGATAAGCAGTCAAGTGCTTTAGGCTCTATGCTACCAGAACTCCTTTTTGTGTTCTAGATAAGGTTATTCCCATGATTTAGAGAGAGATGGGAGACACAGGGCTACATGTGAATCGCAGGAAACCATCAGCTCTCATAGATTCTGAGCCTGATGTAGAAATTCCATTTCTCACAGGCATTTTTTTGGTTCGTTTTTCATGCAACTATCTCCTCATTATCTTTTTTGTCCCCCCACATTAAACTTGTCACTTGAAAGAAACACGATAGCATATGCATAGAACTCCCAACTATAGCTCCCTGTATAGAAATTAGGGTAGCACAAATAGATAAATTCTTTAAGATTGCCACGAGCTTCATTTTGTTTATTTTCTTCAATTTCAGCTTCTTACCTACCTTACTGGGAATGCTAGTGGCATAGTGCCTAAAGCACTTGACTACTAACCACAAGGTTGGTGGTTCAAACCCACCAGCTTACTCCTCAGAAGGAAGACTGGGCAATCTACTTCTGTAGAGATACTGCCTCGGACATCCAAGAAGGGGTTGCTGTGAGTCAGATTGGACTCGACAGCAGTGAGTTTGGTTTTTTTTTTTTTTTTTTACAAACCCACCTTATTTTTTTAAATGCTAAACATTGTTGGCTGGAATGTTTTGTCTTCTTACCCCCACCCCCACCCCCCGCCTCCATCTCCAGGGTGTGTGTATGTGTTCTTAACATTCTAGTAAGCAGGGAGGGGATGCCCTAAAATTGGAAGAAGTAGAATAAGCCATGGTAAGCATTCTGCATAATCTAGAAATTCCCTTGAATAATTTAAATTGTCTTTTTTTTTTTTTTTTTTTTGCTCCCTTTAAGTTTTTAGAAGGAGAAAGAAAAGATTGAGACAATGTAAAAATATCTTTCATCCAGTGTATTTAAGTTTCTTCCCCAGCACTGATCAGTTAAGCACACTCATTTGCTCCCAGACTCTCAGAATTAGAGGAGACAGACTCAACTAGATCACCCTGCACCCATCCCTGACATGACAGATGGCCACCCAGCCTCTGCTGGAACACTTCTGCATTTAGAGTCCGCCAGTTCCATTTTTGGAGAACACAGATTGTTAGAAAGTTCTTCCTTAAATAGCATCAGAATTTTTTTGTTTCTTTAGCTACCTCTCATTGGCTCTTATTTTGCCCTCTAGACTTGGACTGAGTAAATTTTATTTATCTTTTATAGAATGACAGCTCTTCTCCAGTCTGTAGTCTAAATCCAGTTGCATATCTCCTTGGAAACATTTGTACCAAGTATTATGTATTTTAAAAATAGGAGTAAAATTATGCTTTGAACATCCGTATCTATTAGTAGTGCTTGGTATTCATAGTCTGAAGGCTTTTGAGGCTCAGTAGTATCCTTGTCATAATTCCCCCTACTTTCAGTATACCTTGTTTGTTTTGATGTGGTGGTCATGCTCACCTGAAGCCTTCTTTTGTTGGCTCAAGAGGGACCTTGTTATCTCAGCATGAGTTTTCCATTTACCTTTTGGGCTTGATCAAATAGAAGGGGAGTGACTTCTTATTTCCCCATAGCCTGACTTACATTAAAAGCTTCTAGACAAAGGCATTGTTGAGAAAGAAGGTGAGAAAACTTTCTGCAGCCCTTTCTACCTCCCACTAGTCTCTATTACTAAAAAGATAGAGCCAAAATATTCGTGGTCTCCTGTCATTCATGGTCATTGTCCCTAGTGTGCTCTCAAGGAGCTCGGATGGCATAGTGTCTAAGACATTTGACTGGAAACTATGAGGGTTGGCAGTTCGCACCCACCAACCACTCCACAGAAGGAAGACTGGGCAATCTACTTCTGTGAAGATTGACCACGTCGGAAACCCAATGGGGGGTCGCTATGAGTCAGAATCGACTCATTGGCAGTGAGCTTGAGCTTGGTGTGCTCTCAGAATTTCAGTATATTAGACCGATTATATGTTGTGGTGTTATTTGCCGTTGAGTCGGCCCCCACTCATAGCGACCCCTCCTTGGGTTTCCGAGGCAATATCACTACGGAAGTAGGATTGTCCATCCTTATCTGTGTTGTGTATTAGAAGGAGTGAAATCAACACCCAAAACTACACTGCCTACATTGACCTTCTGACAGCTGCCCATGGTATCATCCACATTTGTAATTTTTACTGTTACGGGAATTCACCTAATTTCTAAATCCGTAGCAAAGTTTCCCTGACAGATTCTTGGTTTGAGATAAAATAGCACCACACTCCCAGCAAAGCCTGGGTGATATATAAGTCACAGTGTTGTAAATGTGTATTTACATCACTAATTTCAAATATCTGTAGCTCTTCAGAGTTGAGTATCAGAAAGCAGGACAGATTTTTGGTGGTGAATTTAATCTTATCACATGTAATATTTTCTTAGAGTAACATCAAGAAAATAGTACCTTTGACAGAAAGATCTCTGTTAGGAAAGGATGATCTTAACATTCTTTCTTTTCTTTTAATAATTTATAACTGAATGAAACAATATAAGCTCTTCTTTTCACATGGGCAAAATATTTATATACTGGATCTCCTCTCAAATTCAATTTATGATTGTGAATAGTGAAAGAGAATTTTCCCTCAGCTAACAAGGAGCAATTGTTGAGAACTATTTCTGTTGGCAGATCCAGCTGATATTTTGAAGGGCTCAGACTTTGCATAGCTCTCTGCCCTGCAGTGAGCATTCCTGGGCTATAGTCTGGGCTTGATATTGCTACCTGACTCATAAAATTTGTGTGCTAGGTGTAAAAGCTCTGGGAGGAATCTTTCAAGATGGCAAAGCTTCTATAGCTGCACACCCAAGAAGAGTTTTTCAAAGATTTTGCTGTAGGTTACTGAGGAACAGTTTTTGTTACCACTTTATGATACAGGCTGGAACCCACCAATGCCTCAAAGGTATTCTCTTCTCAATGATTAACTTAGTTCCTGACTTGGACAACCTACAAAATACGGTTTCATTTCTATTAATCCTCCTTGAGAAGGTTTGTTCAAAGGCACACACACACACCCATGGCTACCCAGTTCCTTCTTAGGCATCTGGAACCAGAGGTGTCCACATCCAGGGCTATTCCTTCAGTGTTTGTCCAATATGACTATAAAAAAAAGTTGCCACTGAATCAATTCCAACTCATAGCAACCCATGTGTGTCAGAGTAAAACTATGCTCCATAGAGTTTTCAGTGTCTGATTTTTTGGGAAGTAGATTTCCAGGCTTTTCTTTCAACACACTTCTGAGTAGACTCGAACCTCAGCCTTTCAGTTAGCACCTGGGGAATTCCATGTGCATATACCTAAGTGGCACTAGCCTAAGGCACTTGACTGCTAACCGTAAAGCTGGTGATTCAGACCCACCAGCTACTCCTCAGAAGGAAGATTTGGCAATCTACTTCTGTAATGATACTGCCTTGGAAACCAAGGAGGGTTCACTGTGAGTCAGATCCGACTCGACAACAGTGAGTTTGTGTTTTTTTGTTTGTTTGTTTTGTACCTAAAGCCAATTGGAAATCTACCAGTGATAAGCACCAGGATCTGTCTGTACTGCTGTAATTCTAAGCCAGCTGTCTGAGGTGGCTGGGT